CCTAAATAGAGTTTCCATACTATGGGGAAGATCAAAGGGAGGCTATACGGCGGCCTTACGCCACAATAAGTCAACGTACTTGCTCCGCGCTACACTTTATTACGCGGGAAAACAAAAAAAAAACAGAAAGAGAGAAGGAGAAAAAGAGATTCTCGCCAACCACTTGTTTACCTTCCTCCTCCTCCTTCCGCTGCTTTTGCTCCTTTGCTTGAGGGCGCATGTGCGAAGATAAGAAGTGCGCGCGCTCCGCCGTTCGCGTATAACATACGTGCGCTTTGTCGTTACAATCGAGAAGCTGCGGATCCACATTACACACACGCACGTACTTATACACACACGCGAGCAGGTTTTCCTTCTGGTACACCACCTATAAATATACACTGTTTACGGACGCCGATGCTGGGAACGCTAAAGACGACGCTAGGATTAAATCAGCTGAAATCCGATTATCCGATCGCAAGAGCGTGTGCATGGGTGTATAATATACGTTACGCGCGTACGTGCTGCTCTCCGCTGACAATAAAGGATTGCGCCGCTCGTTGCACTTCGTGAAAAATATTAATTAGGTGCTCATTGTTTCGATAATGGAACGCTTTGATTGCTTTTCCCGTTGTTCCCCGTTACTATCGGGTGATCATCGTGATGTTGCAGCTGTAATTGTGGTTGCATTGTATTTCGAATGGGATTTTACATTTTTGAGGCGGCTGGCTGTAGTCAAATTGTGAATTAAAGCTTTTGAGGGTTTTGTGGAATTAGCGTGGGCGCATGACGGCTCTTCAATGTTATAGCGATAAGACATTCGTGACCAAGTTAATAATGGTAATCGATCCTTGATTTGTTAGTCCTTTTTTATTAATAATCTATTGTACGACTCATATGTTTAATAATTTTTTTTTTTCAAACCGATAATTTATGACTTGGGAAAAAGGAGTGCTATTTGAAGATTTTTATAGAAAAAAGTGTCATTTTAAAAATGTGGTGTTTCTTCTATGTATAGTATGGTGCTATTCAATTTAAAATTTAAACTTTTTGACCAAAGTAATATAGTTGATGAATATCTAAAAATTTTATACTGTTTCGATTTTTTAAATTGTCTTAAAGAATAAACTTACAATGAATGTTTTTTTAAAATAATTTACAAATATTCACTAAAGTTTTTCAATTGGACCGTACCATCCACCTATATTTGCATTAGTACAATTTAATTACATCTACATCTTATATATTATAGAGAGATGCATACTCAAAGGTAAAAACTGAAAAAGTTAACTTTAGTACTTCATTTACTAGATAGCTGTTAAATAAGCACATAAATCTGAACAAAAAAATCCAAAGAAAGCTTTATGCAATCTTGAACAGAAAAGAGTTTTAGAGCCTTAAAAACATGTAAAAAAAAAAATAATAATAAAACTCGTAATTTAAGTTGCGTAGCAAAGCTGTTTCATCACTTGTAAAAAGTTTTCCATTTAGTATTAAGACAATAAGTAATCCTATGAAAAAAAGATTAGTTTTTTTCTGAATAAATAGAAGTATTCACAGAGTTTCAACAAAAACCATAAAAAACTGTAGAAACTAAGAAGAGTTTAGTCATTTTTGGTGATGATGATTTATAAACAATTGCGCAAAAACTGGGGGTGGAACTTGATACAACACCACATACTTGAACCACATCAAAAGGTAAATTATGTACCTGATTGATTATTTTATTGTCTGTAAACAAAAGATTAATAAACAAAATGAAAAAAGCAATACTAACAATGAGTTTGAGTTGCCCTTGATGTTAAATTGAAAAATGTCACACGAATCTCAACTACGATGCAATACCGATCTCTTTCCCAAAGCCCAATGCATCATAGTATTGAATATGCATTTAATGAAATGTAAAAAAAAACACAAACGATCAATCAAACCATCAACAAATACTTATCCAAATAACCCGTGAGTTTCTCACGAAGCCTTAGCGCGCACATGCCCAAAAATCTAGCATACACAGACCCCCATCATTTTTGCATCTTCCCAATAGAACGTGCAGCAAAAGCAGCAGCAGCAGCCTTTCCAAAAAAATTACCATAAGAAGACGACGCAGCACAGCGCGACTCCGCACTCGCACACAGACATGGGAAACGTCGAACTCTCGCGTTCCTCGGCCCATACACCGTAGAATGCATCATGCAAATGCGTCGCTACGCTACATAAGTACTGCTGCATAGAGAGCATCACCGGAGGAAGAAAAGGAAGGCAGGAGGTGTTTGCATAAAAGGGATGGGCGCGCACGTCGTCGCAGTCGTCTCGTTTCTAAAGGCGATGAAAATGACGGGCAATTCTGATCGCTCTTATTATCCGCAGACGCGGCAAATTGCCCCGACATATGCCCCGTGTGCCATTTGTTTAATATACATGAAGCGACTCGCAATGCAACCTCCGTGTATATACTTAACGTGAGGTGGGAACGTTTGGCACTAGCTGCCTTTCAATCTATTAAATGTACGGTCGGTGCAAAAGTTTACCGGGGTATGCGAAGGGAGTCTTGATTCGCGTATTGTACAAACAGCTGACGACGTTGCAAGAAAGATTCAAAGAAACGGAAGAGGGAATAACGAATCAGAAGGACTTCATGGAAGGAGGGCCGCGTTTCTCGGCTACTTATGCTTTTTGGATTTCCAGAGGCAATTTAACTACACGTATTGATTCGCCCATTCATTGGTAGAAAAAAAAAAAATAAGGGGCAGTCAAGGTCAATTGGCAAAAGGGTAAGGAGAAAAAATACAACGACTGTAGCTTTAAAACTTGCAAAACTCGGATAAAAGAAAAAAATTTTTAGCAAAACTTTTCAGAATTGAAGTTTGGACAAAGTTAAGGCAAAATTACTCAGCAAAAGTTTGCGAAACTAACGTCTTCTCTTGTCTTTCGGGCATTTGATACGGTGGTCAAGAGCTGAGCATAAGTACAGCTGTCAAGAAAACTGTTCTTAAAAAACGTACAAGAAAATTGGTCTTTCTTACAAAAACATGCCAGAAAATTATATGAGATAACGGTTAAGAGTTTCGTTGGACACATTACTGGGATGACTAAAAATGGGCCAAACTTTGAAATTATTCACATCAGATACAATAATTATACGCCCACGTTGTATCGGGCTTGCCCCAACAGATATCTCGAGAAAAAATTGTAACTTTGGAACTGGTAATAGAAAGATATTAAACGTGTTGTGGAGTTGGTAGCGTCTCTTATACACGGAATGAATATTTTGCGATTATGATACAAGTACGGCAATGGCAGCAACAGCAGCGGCAGGAGGAGGTAAAGGCTCTTTTATTATACATCTCGCGTGTGTCGGTGATCGGCCAGCATCAGCCACCAGTTCTGTGTGCGGCTGACAGAAAGAGAGGGAAGCTAAAGGGTCGGGCCAGCGTGTAGGTATATACAGAGTACACGCGTGCAGAGTATGCAGATGAGAGAAAGGGGGAGAGAGAGAGACATAAAAAAAAGTCCCTGTATAGCGGATGTTATAGAGCAGACTGCAGTTAGCAGAGTGCGGGAAACAATGGACCGTGCCATTATGTCCGTCGTCGAATCCAAAGGCCCTTGTGTATACTTCTCTCTCTTTCTTTCTTTCTCGGTTTTGCCACTGGGCTCTCTGTCTATTATAGTATATGGTAGCGAACCACATTGTGTATCCGGCCCACCGCGAGACGAAGCAGCGACCACTGGCACAAGCGGTGGAGAAGAAACAGAAGTGGAGAACGAGAGAGAGAGAGAGAAGAAGGAAGAATAGGGGGGGGGGGATAAAAAGGGATGGAGTGAGAGAGACGGAGAGAAAAAAATAGCGGGAGCCTATTGTCAGGACGCCTAATTATTCGCTAATCTTCCGCGTGGAAGTGATGCCCTCTTCTCTCTCGTTTCTTCTACATATCTCTCTCACACCCTCCCTCCTCTATTCTTCTTTTAAGAAAGTATTGAGACGCCAAAGTCCGTGAGCGGCCCTGACCCGAACCCGGTGAGTTGGGACTATACAACCGCGTGGCACTATACACACCGCATTTGGCACCGTCAACTCTCTTTCTCGCTCCCTCCGTGTTTATCTCTCACTCCAGCTTTCGTTCGCTTTTATATAGCCACAGCGATGTAGGGTGTTGTTCTCAGTGGGCCGACAGCCAGACAATGAGCCCACGGTGCCAACTGCTTTAAATTTTCGGTCCTCAAATGAGTGCTCGAACCTGAAAAGCACACCACACGCACACACACACACACGTACAAGCCGACGAGAGGGAATTGGCGAGAAATAGGTGTAGTAGGGCGACCGAGTGAAAGAATAAGAGAGAGAAAGAGAGAGAGACCGGACTCTCGTTTAAGCGTTTGTGAACGAGGAGGAGGTGGAGGAAGAAGAAAAGAAGGAGAGAATGAGAACGAGCGAGCGTCCGATTGGGCAATAAAGCGAGAAAGGCACGTGCCGGCACTTGATGTCACTCGGAAGATGATTAAGCTCTCGCAAAGATATGCAAATTAAGCGTTCTATTTCACCCTCCCGCTCTCACTCTCTCTCTCTCTCGCCGTGTGTATATATAAATAATGACCCTATAGGCCGGTCTTTTGAGCCTCGACACTCGAATGAAAAAGAGTATAGGTAGCCACGTGGGGTGGGAGAACAAGAGAGAGGGAGCGAGTGCTGATTTCTTAATAGAGGAGCCGCCAGGTAATTAACGCCGTCACGCCGATCGTGGTCCGAGAGCCCGTCGGCTGTCCCCTTGTACTCTTATTAAGTAATTATTAATGACACGCGATCCGCTCTACGTGGGCAGTGTATACACAAGATGGGAGAATGAGTGCCTCTCATATACACTCTCGTTCTCTTTCTCCGTCCGCCGGGCAGATATGGGTAACATACGTATAAATACACATGTACATGTTGTTATACATGCGTGGCATGGCCCATGCTGGCATCACGATACACCTATATGCATTGAAAAGGCTAATGCTACGAGTGTGTAGGCATGACTCACCTCGGGATCACAGCTGGACGGCCGCTTGAAACTGTAGAGCTTGGCGAGCTTGTCGTAGAGGTTTGCGCGCTCGTAAATGTCGCGGAACGGATTTTTCGTGCTAAAGAAGTCGAGATCGATGTCCAGGATGTAGGGCATGTCCTTTTCTGGCAAGTACTGGCGTATTTGCTGCCCGACCTGGACGAAGTCATCGGTCTGAAACATTTTACGGAAAATTTTGTTAATTACTTTTGTTGTATTCGTTTACCAAAATGTGGAACAAAATGTAGAAATAGAAAACAAACAGTCATTATATGGGAAGGCAAAAAATTGTATGAATTTGATTATCATTTTCACTTGTAAACGAGCGCACGTACGTGCATCGTAATTGAAAATAAATCATAAACGAAGGCAGCAATCGTTCATGCATGTACTATCAGAAATCCGATGATTTGCATACAAATACTCGAGAGACAAAGGGAATAAACATTACAAACTAGACTCGCGTGTATATATACACACTACCCAGCAATAGCTCCCGCATTTTTTTTCCTCCTCCTTCTCGAACTCCGCATGTGTTCTCTCTCAACCCGTTAGCTGCGCGGGAGCGTTACACAATTGCATGTAAATCCCAGAGGCGCAGCCCCGCGCGTGCAAGCGCGAAAATATCGATTTTAACACAATTACTCGAAACGCGCGCTTACACGCACGCAGGGCTCATTGTTTTTTTTTTTTTTTTTTTTTTTTTTCTCTTCTGCGAGTGCTCAAAAACGAGCGCACCACAGGAGGGATTGCATTGTGACGCGCTCGCAATACTCCATTCATTGGGTTTTCATTTCAAAACAATGGCTATTAATTCGACTATGCAAATCCACGGGGCTTCGAGGGCTGATCTTTACGAGTGAACACGCGCGGGGAAAAAGAAGGGAAACCATCAATGGGTTTTTCGAGCTTTTTGTCGAGCTTTCGCATCGGGTTTTCAATAATTTTTACAAAGGGGTGCTTGTTGGTTATTAATTTTCTGGTGTCTGCGGAATTTTGTGAAAATTGAAAGTGTTGAAAATATTGTAGGTGCCTTTACATGCGATGTCATTAAAAATAAATAAATAAATATTTAACAGTAGTACAAAAATACATTGTTAAATTTATACTACTGCTTGATTTTCAGTTTTATTTTTAAAAAAAGCTCTAGTAATTGACCCAAGCAATATCTTTATACAATCTCGGTTCAATGTTTGACGAATTAAAATTGTAGAGCTGCAGAAGACTCATTAAAATGTTATTCACAATACTGAATCTTTAAATATATATAAACCCCATAAAATAATTAAAATACAGATTTCTTTGCCCCAGATGAAATGAACAATATTATAATGATGACTTTCTTTTTTAGCCAGTTTCACCCTCCCTGTGTGTATGTACGTGACGTTCAGGAAACTTTTCTACATTTTTCACCCTTTTCTTTCAAAGTCGACGACGCGGCAGAAGTCATACACAGCACGTTTATTCGTGTAAACAGCGGACCAAAGGGAGAAAATCGTTTCTAACGAGTAACATGCAAAAAGAGTCTGGGATGGACAAAAGCTGTGCTTGCGACGCACAACACGCACAACATACAAAGTGGGTAGAGTAGAAACACGGACACACGAGAAACGAAGGAACAATGGCGCTGCTTCTCTGTACTTTTCGCGTTACACAAATTTACGGCAACAATGGGAGCAAAGCGATTAAGCGCCAGGTTGTCCTATAAGTTCTTTTCCGCCAAGCTCAAAGGAAGGGTCTTTTTTTTGTCGAGGTACGCGAGGGCGTGATTAACGAAGAGCGTTGTCTTTCAACTTTTTTCTTTGGTTTCACCCTCGCTGACGGATTAAGTAATTTTTCGAGGGATGTTTCTATACTTTAATTCCCACCTCCATCCTTCTTGCTTTTTTTTGTAAGGAAGCTTGGATCTCGCCGTGAGAGCTTTTCTCTGGCGAGCATTGTATTTTTACACTTGAAATATGAGCTGTGTCTATCTAGAGCCCTGGAGGAATATTTTTTATGTAAAAAATGATGAGAGTTTTTTGGAAACTAATGATTTACTATTAGAATTTTTTAGTTATGAACTGATGGTAGAAATTTCCTTAAAACAAGAGGAAAAAAAAAAAAAAAACGTTTTTTTTGTCACTTAATAGATTTATTCATGTTTGTGATAAATCTTGTACAACTGCTACATTAAACTTCAAATTTAATATCAATGGTTATTTTCCAACAAAAGACTTTATCAGAACAATGCATACAAAACATCCCTTAGTCAATGACTGATAAATCGATAGGTAGATAACCAAATAAACAAATGGCTATAAAGACAGACTTAAGTAGGTGGTACTATATTATATTTGATTAATCAAGCTTATTTGTTTTTAGGATTAAAAAATGTCTTTAATGTATTATTTATCAAAGGACTAGCCTCCTCATATAATAACTGTTTAATGTTTGAGCGAAGATACATGAGGTAAAACAATCATTACCACGTAGCACAAATTGTAACACAGAAGCTGCATTTTACATAAGTAAATTGTGCTTCCTTTTTTTTTTCATTCCAGTAACATACAAGCCCACGAGATCAGCGACAATAACAACAAGGTCTACACAGGAGATCAAGCATTATTAAAATAAGTTGACACACGGCAAGGCGCCACAGAAGGGGAGTGTCGGAAAGGCACGTCATCTTAATCAAAAGTGTCGTGGCGCGCGTAAACGCGGTTGCACGCGGCATCATTGTTTCCAGCTCGGCCGAGGAGAGTGAAAAAAAAAAAAAAAAAAAAAAACTAACAATGAAAAAAAATACCTGGAGGCACTGCGCGTGGCAGATGCGTTGTGTCAATCGAGGAATGACGGCGCTTTGTTTCGCGCTGCTCCACGCAAATATGTGGCTTGATCGCGCGTGTACGTTTAACACAGCCCAGAATCGATGCAGCGAGTCGGAGAGTATACACGTGGCGTTTATTAATTAAAACAATGCACCGACATGAACTGACTGCACGCGTGTGTTGAGGAAAGGCAGATGTGACTAGGGTTTTTTACTTTTTTCATTCGTCATTGAAATCAAGCTTTGGCTACTATGCAGGGTCATGCTTGCGACTGTCGCGTCGTATGGGGAGTTGTAAATTTTATGATGAACAGGCGAGAGCGTAACGTTAAAAAAAACCTTACAATGGGGCCCAGAATAAAATTTTTAATTTTGTGGATCAAATTATACCAATGACTTTGGTGGTACAAACAAATTGAGTCTTACTGGGGGATTAGTATTTTACGCATCACGTATTATAAATTAATTAAGATAAAAAAAGTCCACACTACTGCTGCAGCATGGCCCATGCTGGCATCACGATACACCTATATGCATTGAAAAGGGACCAAGTTAATAATGGTAATCGATCCTTGATTTGTTAGTCCTTTTTTATTAATAATCTATTGTACGACTCATATGTTTAATAATTTTTTTTTTTCAAACCGATAATTTATGACTTGGGAAAAAGGAGTGCTATTTGAAGATTTTTATAGAAAAAAGTGTCATTTTAAAAATNAAAAAAAAAAAAATCGAAAACACAATCAAGAAACATCAAACCAACGCTCGCGCGAATAAATTGTTTCTCGGTAAAGGTCGGACAGCTCAAAAAGACGCGAGCAGACAGTGGCACTCGTATTGGCATTAATTAGTATATATACCCCGACAAGTCTACGATTCATAGTCAACGTTGCACGTAGAAAATGCGAGACACACAACATTGTAAGCGTATATACGAAGCATACAGAGAGGGAGAGGGAGTTTTCCGTCCGTATACGTGGCTCTCTTGCTCGGGTGCAGCGCGTGCTCGCGTAGCGTATATCAGTATGCAAGTTGTATCGGTATCCGGTAGCGTAAGCTCGTGTAGCACACGCACACGCGGCAGTGCGGTAGCAGCTACAACTCACGTTGCATTATGTAGGATCCCCGAGAGAGGCCGGTCCGTCAATGCCGCGTTCGTGTCACTCCAGCGCGACGGTGATAAGAATAGACCGATAGAATTTTCTATTAGGCAGGTAGGTAGATATACCACGCCACACGGAGACACTGGGAAAAATCGAGGTTTTCGCGCATAAAAGGTCTACACGACTCTGAAAGCGAGTGCTAAAACAACTTCACTGTCGGAACAATGGTGTTCTGGTGCTTCTCTTTTTTCGTCTATGTCATCTCTTACTCGCGGGTCTTTGGGTGCCGCATACGTACACACATGGACTTGTACACCGTGTGTATACCCATTGTGTGCAATTAACGATACGCTCATTACCAGCAGCAACGCAGTTGCATAAAAGCATATTATGTACGTGTGTATGTACACTACAACGCCACTCCATTTCGCGTTTATCAGCGGACGTGCAGACAGTGAACAGAGAGGCCAGCAGGGCTAGAGATGGGGCAACGAATGACGCTATTTTTCTCCCTCTGACTCGCGTAATGGAAAATAGAAGCGACGCACATTATTGGACTCGGAGCTCCACAAGTTTCTATTAAACGTCGAGGATTGTGCAAAAAGCCACCTGATTTTCGCTCTCTGTCCATGCACAAGTGTGTAAAGATATATACATGCAGGCATGCAAGTAACGCGTGAACGTGTAAGAGTGCGCGCCGTGGATAATTACGATGATTTGGATTAGCGCTGCTTTTTTCTTCCCTTTTATTGCGGATTTTGAAATCTTATGGTTGCCTCGCGAAAATTGCCCATATCTACTTGCGACGCACATTGTCTTTTACCCGTGCTGTGGTGCACGCAATGATTTTCACGCGCTGGAGAACGCGTGTTGAGAAAGAGACAAGACAAGGACACGATCGGATGGATAAACATTGTAATTTGTACGTCACCGAGAATACAAGATGAAGGGGAAAGAGAGTAATGAGCTGCTGGCGCGTAAGTGCACGAAATTGCCACAATTGGAGTGAAATTTCACAAGAGGGATTCCTCGGGAGTCGTAGTTTCGCAGAAGAATTGCTTCTTGCGAGAACTTAATATTGCCTCGCATATGGAGCCAACTTGAAAAGTTCAACACATCAGAGCATTCAACGCATTCTTTTTTCCCTGCCTGACAGTGAAATTGGCATTTTTCTGTTTGCGCGAGAAAAAAAAAGTACGCGGTGGCGTTCGCACCATTAGGAAAAAAAGGCAAACAAAGAAAAAGAAAAAAAAAAAAAAAAA